AATCAGAACAAAGTGATGTAAAACTAGAACTCTTGAAAAGGTATCAACCCACATAACAATAATATCCTGATATTCTGATGATAGAATTTATAAATTTTTTTTCATTAACTTTTGCTTAAAGATCAGAGACTTTAACATCAACAGTCTTATACTTTAACAAGCTAAATAAACTGTTGGTAAACCACACAGATCAAAATAACCACCAAGTAGCATAATGCTTTCACTACATATGGGTCCGTACTTCCATTTGAAGCTGTGAGGGTTTATGTCAAGCTTTAATATGCTCAGTAGCACAAGGTTAATGTTACACCAGTTGCAATCAACCTTTCAATTACATAATGAAATTGACTATTCTTTGAGACATCCATCAGATTTCAAAAGCAGAATCATAAGATCCACTCCCCAATCAGGTGAAGTCAAACACCAAAAGGAAGCCAATAAATAAATATTAAAGTACAATCATTGATCAGCCCCAAAGTTAGTAAAACTAAACCTAATTACACAATTCATGGACTCCGTTACTGCATCTAGACTATCCCTAAATTTATTTCTTTAAATGAATTCCATGTTGAATATTTTAAGTTAATAGTTATGTACTTCAAGTTAAGTCATGAACAAAAGTAACAAAAAGAAGCACTTAAGACTAAAAATTAAGAAATGTAAAATGAGAGAAGTAAAGGAAACTTGACCATGAAGTGCTATAAAAACAATAAACTCACAGGATTGCTGCCCGTGCCAGCAGGAAGCTTCTCATCATCAGTGGGATAAGGTAAATGGTAAAAAGTACAGATTTCTGACACACATTCCAGCCATTTGTCTGCATTTAGTGCAAGACATGCTCCCTAAGACAATTCAGATTAAAATCATAAACACACAGTAAGAACTAAAACATAATTCATCAATACTCAATTTTGTTCAATTGAGGTATAACAAAGGGAGAATTTCTGCAAGTACTACACCATCAAGGTCACTTATAGATGGTGAAGATAACCTGCCAGACATGATTTAAGAAAAAAAAAGTGTATCCACATTAAGAATACATCCTAATAGTCCATATGGTCCTGGACTTTCTTCGAGGATTTGTAGTTTACTGTTGACCCAAGCTCAATATGACAAAATGATCTTCTTATGACATTTTTATAAACCTATGGGATCTTATTTTAACAGAAAAAGGAGATTGGAGGATGGAGAGATTAGTTTCTTCAAATATGTGATATATCTGCAGAACATAAAGAAGAGAATATACCTTCCATATCAACTCTCTCATTCCTGGTTTTCCAATCCAAAGCTTGAATAACCATTCCCTCATTTCTCGTGGTCCTATGCAGTTGCCTGAGCTCCAAGGATAAGTGTAGTGGTCCTTCTCTCTATCCAAAAACATTGCTAAGAAATTTATATCATATGAAAATTCGAGTTCCCAAAAGTTATGATTTTTGGAGGCACCATGGGCTGTTCCTTCATTATTTTGATTCTCTCGAGATTTTATAACTTTGACCCTTTTTTCTTTCCTTGTCAGGTCTGGGTAGCTCAGATTATCTTTTTCATTGCATGCATTCTTTTTTATTGTCTCTAGACAGCCTTCATCAAGAGCAAGCAATCCAGCACGGCAAACCCCTTTATGACAATAGCCTGGAGCCAAGTCAAAGCATACAAATTCAAAGTTTTTGGAATTTACAAAATTTTGTGTGATGGCTACAGTTGTTTCTAAATTCAGGACACAATGCCACCACCCACTTGGAACAAAAATGGTCTCTCCAGGTAGTTGGGTCAACTCAATTGGCTTGTCTTCATCAGCAAGAAGTGGATAAAAATCTAGCCACCACTAAAACACATAAAGAAAGATTAAGATTCAATTGAGGTGACTTCAAAAGAAAACAAATATTTAGAAACAGGAGATGAGACACAGGGGCTAGGGCATTGGAAGTAACCTGTAGTGAAGATGGAGTGTCAATGTTGACATCACCATCTTCATCATTTACATGTACTGTGACACCCAAAGGCACTCTTCCAGGAGGATATAATGCCCATCTGTCCATGGAAAAAAAAAATCATTAGGAGAGGAAGAGCAAGAAAGAGAGAAAGGGGGAGTAGATATTAAAGTCCCTTCATTACAATGCAGAGAGTTTTATCAACTACAAAGTGAAAACGGGCATAACTCACAGCAAATAAGGAACTATAACCATAGCATATTCAATAGTATAGATCCAAAGCACAGATGCAGGGATAAAGTACCTTTTACGGCCAGAGAGTAGAGTATTCCAGGCACTGGTAAGCGCCGGATCAACATGCCATGAAGCACCGGATCTCTCTGGCCCAATAATAAGCCATCTAAATGGTGGTCGACTATCCCTATCCAAGATATTGAAGAAGTCTTCTTGAAATAAATAAGGCACAGTGTAATCCATTAACAGGCTTGGTGCAGCTTCCCCAAACTGCATAAATAGAAAGCCAAGTACTCTCAAATTCCAGACAAGTTTATTACCCAATCACAAGTTCCACAAAGAGAAAATGTAAAAGAATTGCATTAATCTTACAAGCACCATTTGACTCACCTTCTGATCAAAAATATAGAGTGGATCCTCATCATGCTGGGCATTCATGTATGAGACATAATCCTTGAATTTCATTGAGATTTTTCCAGGACTTCTTTGAGATATCTTGAATGCTGTATCTCCATATTTCACCAATAGCTGGTCAATTGTCCATGTACTCCTTGCTGGCCAAGACTCAGCCAATCCAGTGAGTAAAACCTAGTAGGTATTCAGCAATGAACCCTTCAATAAAACATCTGCTTTGCAAGTTCTGACCTTGAAATGGATAATTATTCTAAAGAGAGTAACTTTTAATCCGTAGAAAATAATGTGAGAACTTCAGATATTAAAAAATAATAATAAAAAAAAGGGAAAATGTTTTTGCAATTACACACTAGTGAAACCAGAATTGCAGAATAAGATTATAGGTCTTGGCAGAGGGATGTGACTATGAGTGGAGATTATGTTGAAAGTATTCATATTTATGTAGTCATGTCAGAGGCAGCAAGATAAAAGTAAAGAAAGTGATGTGATTATACCGTAAAAGAATGCATAGTAGTAAATTAAAATTCTACTGGCATCACCTGTTTGATCATTTCTACCCCATATTTGCAAGAAAAGAACTCTACAAAGGACAGGAAGTTATCCTAAAGTCTTAAAATTATATATTAAAAGCTTAAAACTATATTTAAGAGAAATCCATTACTGGAACATTAAGTTCTCCACCACGAGAAGATCTAAAAGCCAAAGGATTACATGGTTCAGCATAACTATTTGATATTTTATGAAGGATTTGTACATGTTATTCGGTTCAACATAACCCACTGACCCCTAGAACTGAAAATTTACACCATACCGGCTTCTTCCCAGCATATTCATGATGGAACTCTTCCAAAGAGAGGTCCTTCTTTCTTTCCACATTTCCATCATCAAAATTAAACCCATCCAAAGTTGTGTGGCATCTATATAACCTTCTATACAAGAATAAGGAACTAAATCCTGCAGAAAAGTAATGCAAAATTACTTCAGATACTCAAGAGCAAATGTATACTATCAATTACAGTTAAAAACAAGCATAAGATGCTTTAAGAAAATTTTATCTAATTGCATTGAAGATGCTAAAGCAGAAGAACCATTACCATCAAATCGCAGCGGTTCTCTACAAGAGTCAAGAGGAAGATTCTCTCTGCAAAATTTCAATTAGAGACTAAAATTTTACACAGGTAGAAACAAAAAAAAAAAAAAA